CACACTTAGCTGCTAAAAGCTTTGAAATCGATGTTTGTACTTTGTCATCAATGCCAGAAAATTCTAGGTTCATTTCTTTCATAATTTTTCCTGCTTCCTGAAAGGCCATGACGTAATCATGGACACGTAAAATACAATTAGAACTTTACCAAAGCAGCAAGAATGGCATTTCCACCACTCTCTCCAATCCCCTTGTTTGATGAGACATCAACTCCATTTAGTCCAGACTTTGGATTGTGTAGAAGTCTGGTAAGGGCCGCTACAGATAATTCTCCCAATTGACAACTGGAAAGGCTCAATCTCTGGAACAATAATTGCGACAACTGGCTTGAATCGTAAGAGCAACTGTACCTCTAAAGAACTGTTGACATATAAGGCCTCAAAGATAACCTGCCCTCCTTCATCTAGGATAGAATTGTGTCTCAAATTTATATACAAAAGCACGGAGTTTGTTTTTAAAGTTTCCGTAATGTTGATTGCACCTGCATCAGTGGCACCTCAGATGAATTAGCTGTTAAGGGAAGACTACCTTGCGTAGTTATACAGTTGTTGCACAAATTCAGAACCGTTAAAACCGATTTATCTGCAGACATAAGCTTCATAATTTCAATGACTCCAGCATCCGAAATATAATTGTGTGAAAGATCTAGATGCACAATGGTGGGATTGGCAGCCATGCCGTTCACAAGAATTTCTACCTGTAGTGTCAAAAGTAAGGCAAAATTACGGAAGAGTTTGAAGAATCTTCACCTTTTTATCGTCAATCAAATTATAAGAAAGCGTTAGTTCACTTAGCGCTAAAGAAACCCTTAGCGCAGCAGACATGGATCGACAATCTGATGTCTTCATACCAAACCTGAGTTTATCGTACTCCATGCCCACATTCCGGCTTCCATACTCGATCTTAAGTGTCTCTATTTGACTGGGACATTAAAACATACGAATATCAGGCGAAGTGACAATGACAGAATTACCTGGCTAGTGGAACGAGAAAAACAGATATGTTTAAACGAGATGGAAGCTGGTAAATTATCAGATTGTGAATGTATTGCGCACATATATGAAGCATGTTCGTGAGTGCAGACTCTTCAGAACATGTAGGATCAAAGCTGTACCAGGAGCACAAAAAAGAAACTTCTACAACCAAGCAATGAAACCAACCTTTCCAATGCGTCTGAGAAATACCGCTCAAAAAAAAGCTGCTTCCACGAGCGTCCGTGGGCTGCAATGTCACTATTACTCCAGTGTAGCCTCGATCTCCTCTCCCAATATTCATCTTCATATATGAGCTACGTCAAAAAATTATGCGTGTTATCTCTTATGCTTTCAACAAGTGTGTGTAAAACTTCTTACATAAGCTGCAAGGTCCAGTGGCAAGTCCAGCGGTAGCAAGGTAACAACTTTGGGTCGAAGGTCAAGTGAAATATAGCCAAATGTTGGAAAACATAAGAAGTTTGCAGCCATGACCGGAATACAGAGATCCACAAGAGAAGGTCTGAAAAATCTTGTGGCAATATAGCCCCGTGGGCGACCTCCATCTGATCCAGCACTTTCACTGCTCTCCCGAGACCTTGGTGTTGCTGGCTTGCTTATATTTGTTGTAATACTTGTTGTTGTAGGCGTGGGGGTGGGTGCAGATGGTGCTGGTGTTGTGGTGTTCGATGAATCAGCCATTAGGGCGAAAGGTAGGGCGACTAACGTACGTGCGGTACTTATGTAGAGAAAACATGTGTGCAATTTATTAAAAAAAAATCACGAAGCATCGATTGCTTGTCCCATACCTCGTAATTGATGTGTGCCGGCTTTTATTTCACAGCCTTGTAGATTCACCCTTGTCCTATCCACCTGTGCCTCAGGTTTATAGCGTGTTTCTTCTTGGCTCCTTTCTTTTTCTTAGTATATGAGCAGAAGAGCTGCCTGTTTTTCTTTTCATGCACTTCCAATTACTAAACTTCTCCTTTTAAGATTGTGGTTTTTCTTATGTACCTATTCTACACATTACCTAATTTGTTACACGTTTGTAGAGGAAAAAAACAAAACCAAAAAATTAAAAATCATCATCATCATACTCCCTTATCATCATCATCATCATCATCATCATACTCCCTTATCATCATCATCATCATCATCATCAAACTCTTTATTTAAAGTTGCTATTTTGGCATCGGCGTCACATATTCCATTTTTAGAATATCCATTTTTTCTTATGGCAGATGCTCTTGATTCAACGATCCAGATCTGTGACGCTCCAAAGCAATGGTGAGGATTGTGACATGGTGGCAAAGAGCTTGGTTTTAGGTTTAAGAAACGGTTATTATGGCTGTTCACAAGCCACCAGCGACTTGTGAACCTTTAGATATTACGCTACAAACCATCTGTGAATTTTTCGGGAGTCTACTCTTTTCTTTCATTTGTTGTGATTTCTAGGCGATTTTCTTTTCACAAACTTGCTCCTGGACAAAATGATGGAGACCACTAAGGAAAGTGGCATCCAGTGAAGAATTGTCAACCTCTCCTCCATCACACACATCGCCTCTTACAGCGGTGGAATCCAGTTCTCACACCTGAATGACAAAGCCTGGTACCAAACGACTTTCTTTTCTCGTGAGCTTACATTCTTCCTTTTTTTCTTCCAAAAGGTACTCCGACACTCAATCCAAGCTCGTGAACATCCTCCATGCCAAAGAACTAGCAATGAGATTCAAGGTATTTGTCTAATGCTTTGAAATCTCTCCCACCTTTCTCTTTCGTCAATGCTTTCTATTTGCTGATTATGCTGAAGGAGTTGACATCACAGCCAACACTGTTCACCCGGGGTTTATAATGTCGCCTTTGATGCGGCACACATTCTACATAATGAGTTTGTCTGTTAGCCTCGTCATTGTTTTCGGTTACTTATGGAACTTTGATCTTCATGCAGGGTTTCTCAAGTTCTTCTCCAGCTTCCTTTGGAAAAATGTGCCACAGGTAAGAAGAATTCTCCCAATTATCTGGAAGTTTTTCGTGGCTAATACGTGATTGATCTCTCAGGACGCTGCTACGACGTGCTACACAGCTTTACATCCAAGCCTCAAGGACGTCACTGGGCAATACTTCGTGGATTCCAACAAATCCAGCTGTAGCGCTTATGGCAGAGATCCCGAGCTCGCTCACAAGCTATGGACCTTCTCCCAGGAGCTTATAGACAAGCATTCTCCGTCCTAAAGGTAAAAGGTTGATGGTGCTAGAGAGCGAGCTAGCAAACGAGGACAACTCGGCAATCATTTGTGGATAGACTGTATTTACTCTTTTCAAAATCTCAAGCTCGAGCTTGATCAAAAGTAAGACGCATTGCCTACATTGCGCATTACTAAAACTTTGGTTTTGAGCATGTCGTCCATTGCGTACTTGACACCCTCTCGTTGGATTGCAGAGTCTTTGATCCCACCGTATGGCTGGCTATCAACGCGCATGCTTGGTGAATCATTGAGGCAAACTCCTCCAGCTTGTGAAGATCGAATAATCATCAAACAAACAATCAATACTTTCTATATCTCAAATGCAAAGGTACCTCTATGTGCTCAAACGCGCATAGAAGGCCTTGTTTAGATCATGTGTAAAGACGCCAGCTTGGAGACCGTAATGTGTGTTGTTAGCTTCCTTCACGGCTTCCTTGAAATCACTGCGTCACCACCGTTTTAGTTTAACTGAGAATCTCTTCTTTCCTTGCGTCTGTGTCAAATGGATCGTTGGCTCCATGAAAGCTCCCCTTTGCTTACTACCAACTAGAAGTTTGGCACCTGCCTTCACTGCCTCGTTCATGCTCTTCTCCACTATAGCTGCCGATGACTTGGATATCACGGGCCCGATGGATGTGTCGTCTTGGTGAGGATCTCCACCTTTGAGTTTCTTAAAGGCAGCAATCAATGCGGCCTTCACCTACATAACCAGCACCAGATACATTAGATCAAAGCTTGATTTGAGAACAAAGAATACGATAGAATTCAAATATGAGTGTCAGATACCTCCTTGTAAATGCCAGCTCTCATGTAAAGATGCTGCATGTGAATACACAACTGGCTGCTTTGATAGAATCCCCCGTGGTGCTTTTGTTATATATGCTAAGTCCATTTACAATATCAACATATTCCCACCTCAACTCCAAGGATGTAGATAGTGGCAATAGAATTTAAGTGTTATAGATGGGTTTTACAAGATGAGAAATATATAAACCATTACTGAATCGTAAATTTGAGTATCAAAAAAAACAATTAATATTTAAAGTATAAATTTTTTAGTTAAAAACCAGATAGTGGACTATTTGAAACAAAAAAGAAAATAAAAGAGTGCTATTGTTTTAAAATATAAATACTAATTATGCTACAAACTAATTTATTTTTCTATTCAGAGAAATTGTTGCTGATATAAATATCCAAAACATGCATATACTTGAGGAAATTTAAAAAATGTGATTAGTTTTGGAGGATTTTTAAAAGTACAATTAATTTTTTAAATCATATTAAGTCTTCAAGAGTAGAGTTTTCTAACATTCATCTTAAAATTAAAATACATCATACCTGTAAATATTATTTTTATAAATTTTTTGATAAATAGTTGTTATACTTGTGTTAAAAGTAAATAATATATTTATATTATTTGAAAATTATATTAAATATCAATATAGTTTTTGTTTACATAGCAAAATGATATCTAACTATACAATTTTAACTTTTAATATTCTTTAAAATCTAAGTATCGACAATGTAATTTTTAATACAATAAAATGAAGAAGTATTGAGAATAAAATGCAATAGTAAGACTTTACTAACAAATGATAAATTTACTACTACAATATTTTTTCTAAAATAAAAATGCAACAATAAATAATTAAATATTTTTATTATTTTTATAAGATATTATATAGTTTTTAATATAAAAATATATTAATATTAATATTTACATAGTAATGTGTCTGATCCATGTTTATATTTAAAATATTAATATTTTAATAATATATTTTAATAAGGTAATAATGTTTCCTTTTATATAATTTCTGAATAGTAAGCAGTGTTGAATCATTTAATAGTAATGTATTTTTAATTTGGAATACATAGTTTTATCATAAAGCATTAGTACTGGTTTGTCCTAATACAATTATTATATCTTCAATATAATTATTATATTTGGATGTACCTCCTTTCAAACACCTGTAATGTAGTGTGAATATCTAGATAGATTTACTTATGTATTTTTTTAAATGTAAGAAAAGACACATAACAGAAATTCTATTATTCTTTAGTAAACTATGAAACTTAGAGGCACAATTCAGATAAAAAAGTTTATGCAATAAAAATTATAATTTCTCCAAACTAACCTTTTATTTTATGGTAGTATATAATTCTTTGGTTTTGTGAAAACTTAATTCCTTTTAAAGTATGGCAGCAATCTTCTAGATGTGTTTAGGGTTGTGTAGCTTTTGATAAAGGTAATAAAAAAAATTCAAATTCAAATTTAATAATGATTTTATCTTCCCCAACACTTGCATTATTATCTCACTGCATTATTGTCCATTTCTCTAGAGATGAGTAGTAGCAAAGTTAAGATAAATTTAACCTTGTATGCAATCAGAATTTCTAATATTGTAAAATTAGAAAAGAAGATCTATTTATCTTGGGTATGCTATATCTCCCAGCAGATATTTCAGCATACTCTTTGTTCTATAGAATGAAACCTTTATAAAAAAAAGAGTACTTGATTGATTTTATACTACATTATTAAACTTAAACATAATTTTTCTGCACAAATATGGTATATAGTAGACACAATGGAAAATACGCTTTAAATTTAAAAGTAAATAAAGCAGTGACAATAGAAAATAATATATTTCTATCATATATAGAAATATGATAGGAAATAACTTCTATTCAATTCAATTCAATTCAATTCAATTGAAAAAACAGGTGGAATTGTAATTAAAATTGTAACTCTATTCCTCCAGGCTAAATCAAACCTCCAGCTATTTTCTCTTATAAAGTAGGTTTAGTTTTATGAATAATCTTATGATAATTATTACACATTTATCAATTAATCTATTCACATGGAGTTGTTGGTTAGCTCAGATATACTCTAAGATATTTGTAAAATCATAAAATTATAATACTGTATTTAAGACCAATAATTTGTGCTTTGAAACATGGAAAAGAAAATATAATGACGTACAAATAAAAATATGATTGAGACAACATTAGACACAATACAAATGGAAACCGTCTAAAAAATGTGATTCCTCATCGCTTAAACTTTTACTATTATTCAATTCAATTTATGAACCATTCTTAAATTTCTGATATGTTATGGTTTAGGAAATAAATGATTATGTATCATCAATACCATAATATCAGAGTATAACCTTACTTTTCATTGAAACAATTTAGCCTCAATAACATTGTTATAATGCAATAAAATTAAATAAAAATAAATGAAACTTCAGAGATAACAAACATAATTCATATTAGCATTTTATTTATATTAAACTATATCCATAAAAAATGATTATGATAAAAAATAAAATACTTTAAATTTTAATTAGTACTCTTAAAAGTATAAATGTAAATATTATGAATGGGGAGGATGTCCAATATAAATATAAAAAGACATAAAAAGAAACATGCTATGTACTTATAGAGATTTTATTATGTATACTTTTCTGAAAACATTTAATTAAAAAAATTTAAAATATATTATAGTAGAATATAACAAAAATAGTGTATATAACAATATCTTATATTTTAATTGAAAATAAAGGACTTAATAGTTCTAGCTATTTCTTCTGTATAATAATTTGAATTTTATCATTAATATAATGGTACTTATTAATACATAAATTAAATTAAATACATTGAGTGATTATGGCTAAGATATATTCTAAGATCTATTTAATATCATAAAGTTTCTACCACTTTTTCTTACATTGCATTTATACAAGAAAAACATAATAATTTATAAACATGATCAAGAAAACATTAGTGCTTGGACCATACAAGGAAATTTGATTCATCATCAATTAAATCTTAGTTATATTAAACCTATCTATATATCATTCATGAATTTTTTGATATATTATAATTCTAGCATTTAGGAAAGGATTATATCAAACCCTACTGCAGCCCACTATAGAGTGAAACTCTACCATACATTTACATTATAAAATTTCAGCCTTCATAACATTGTTATAAAGCTTTAATTTTAAATATAAATAAATGAATCTGCAGAGAAAATAATCCTAATTCAGATTAACATTCATATTAATATTTGTATAAAACATATAAAAATGAATTTTTATAATATAGATAATAGAATAGTTCTAAATTTACATATTACTGTCGAAATACATGAATATAAATATTAGGTAAAAATGGAACATTGAAGAGAAATATTTAAAAGATTTAAAGATCTTCAAATAAATTAAAGCACATAAATGTAATAAATTTTACTTAGTATCATGCAATTAAAGAAATTTTAGTCTGAAAAGATGTAAAGCTAAACTCCATGACAATGTTTATATTTTTAAATTTATAAAATGTATTTATTTTATGTAAATCTATATTTTTTACTTTCATTATATTTTAGTGTACTTAATCAACACTTGCTTTAGTACGTTGAAAAATTATAATGTTGAATGAATAATCAAGTAATAATATATGTTTATCAATTATGTAGATTTCAAATAAAAGTAAAAATCAGGCAATCTCTAAATGACTCATCTGGCAATGGGGTTCCATAGTGATTTATTCCGTTTATAGAAGATCTAGGACTTCAGTCAACAATCAGAGTTTTAAATGTGGTATAATGTTATGAGTTATACTTATTATCTTATGATGTGTGCTGGTGATAGAGTTAATTGTAGATGGGATTTTTAATATAAAGATTATATGATGTTTAAATATGCATGTTATTATTATGATTATATTAAAAATTATAATTACATTTACAACTCTTTGAAATTATTAAGACATTAGTAATAAAAAAAATACTCCCAGCGTAGCTGGGACTTTAATCACTAATTATCATTTCTCCCAGCACTGATAATGCTATTGTACTATATTACATATAGTAACATATAAAAAATATAATAATACCATTATTTAAGCTCTACATCTAAGTTTATTAAAAATATTAATCTTTTTTATAATCGATATCTGTTTATAATCTTGTTCTCATTTAGA